TCGTCGCTTGTCTGTCCTGCAGCATTTTTCGTTGTCACATGGCATAGAAATATCTTCGCTAGGCTAGGAAAAATTCTCCGCGTGGCATACGGAATCATAATAAAAGGAATTGCAATAGCGCTCATCTTACCAAGCCTTCTAGATCTATCAACGTCTACCAAAGAAAACATAGGAATATCAATTCGAGGAAAGGACCTTTGCTTCAGCTATGATCTGCATCAGATGTTGAACGAGCATTCCTATGGATCGCCGGGATAAATCTCGTTGCAACAATGATGTTTCCTCAGGAGCATAACAAAAGGTACGTCTAAGTGCAGATCAATTAATCCTTAGACCAGCCACCAGAGTACATATCTTATTATGGGTCTTGCGTTTTGGATCTAGCTACATGTGCTCTGCTCGAGCGGCCAGCTGAAGCCGTCCAACAAACTGTGGCGAGTGATCTCGCAGCAAATAAGAGCTTGCCTTTTGCAGTCTTTGGATCAATTGCCTTTTTTGTCTGGGCGGCTTCAAGCCGGCAGCTCGAGTATAGCTTGAGATAATGTTTTTCAATTGGGAATGTATCTGCACATTCATCATGGTATAAGGTGGTCTATTCATGTGTGACCTATTTCAGACAATGCCTTATGGTATATCTTCGATGATGGATCTTACTCTATCAATAAGGGATTTGAAGACTGGTGATGAAAGTATAGACGGGCTTTTTACACATACGGTAAGTAAAGAATTGTAAGTTTTTGTCCTGATGTATGTGAATTGAAAGCGTGTCGAAAAATGATAGGAGGTCAGCCGATTGGTCAGCTATATCATACTCCGATACTGTTTGACTCGGATATTCTGGCTCGCTGATAACGACCTGAAAGGAAGTGGTCCCATTCACAGCTGATCGTCATGTGGTCTAGTGGAGTAAAGGTCTCATGGATGAAATTTTCTATGGAGTCTATGGAGGCCAAAGATCTCATACATCGCTCCTCAAGAATGGGTTGCAAAAAATAAAGGGTTTGATACGTGGATAGATTATATGGCAAGGCCGTCGAAGGCTGACAAGCTTGCACAGCGCTGGCAGAACTCTCACCAGGACAAGCAAGTTCCCTATGGAGTGATTCGATATCTGTGGATAGAATAAGAGCTCAAATTGTCGAATATTTAGCCTTCAGAGCCTCAGTTTAACACCAATTCCGGCAATGTCCATGGGAACTTTGATGCGTTCAATCTGTTGGCGTTTCAGCTACGGCACTGGCCATGAGTTTCTAGCTTGAGATATGTACATGACGTCCGCCTCAGGTACCTCTAGGGCAATACACCTATTGCAGATCTGCCCACTTCCAGGAACGGATCGGACCGGACCGCAGCGAGCCAGACGTCAAGTGTCTAGCTCCACATATCTCATCAATTAGCGAGTGGGTCTCATGGGTCGTAGACAGCGTGCAGATCCCATAAATCTCAGCTGCGTAGTTGAGAAGTAATAGGTAGGAGAACAAATTGTGGAATGCCTCGCATGACGATTCATTTCGAATGCGGGAGGGAGATGTCACTTCTCTGTCCAGTATTATTGATATGGCGGTATGTACGGCTCTCGTTATTCCTTTAGAAAATTTGTTTGGGAAACCTCTGTTGGTAGCACTGCTGCTATCAATCGTCAGGGTAAAAACGAACCTACACATGACAGCCAGCTCGCCTCAGGGGAGATACGTATATATTTGGAAAGTTATTAACTTAGTCGGTGGAGCTTGACACTTCAGAGCATAAGCAAAACATTTCATGAAAGAGGTACGGGGGTGTAGGAGCTAGAGTGATAACTGCTTCAAGGCTGCCTTTAACGCAACGTCAAGAGCAGCCTTGTCGCGTGAAAAGATGATACACGTGCACGCAAGGGTGATGTCAAGCGGGGAATGATTAATGCAAACAACTTTATTTATGACTCTATTCATTATGAGTTTTACGTGAAATCTTCTACGTCTTGAATCCGCCTTATTGCTGTCAATAGAAATCGATTGTAAATACCTAGATGCCGTGGCGCCTGCCAACAAGCTAGGCTTAAAAAAAGAAAGTTTTGAATTGAAGCGCCTAAATCTTTATAATACGCCACAGCTGAAACAACAATGCTGTTGTGTACTGGGTGCATACTCTACGTTGTTCATAAAGGCCTGTATGTAATGCATGTATGATATAAACAAATCCCAGTCTGTAACATAATTGTCTCGCTAGCGCAGGTACAACACATCGATATCGACTTATTATATACCCTAGCTACAAGTGCACATACTTCACAAAGTCCTGACTGAGGACTATATGGGTCTAGTGAAAAAATTCAGCTTTTTGATAACTTTATAGAACTTCAATAAAACTAAGATCAGCTCCCAAAACAAAGGGGTTGTGAGGTTGAATCGATATTGCTGGCTGACTTTCAGCTTGCAGTGTTGTTGTCGTCTGGAAAGTACGGTACCGACTAGACCTCGATCGGAACCGGCCAAATAAGGTCGAATAACAGTGCAGAACATACTCTATCATTGGCAGTTACGGCCCGCCACATCACATCAAAAAGTTTGAATTATGATTGAGTTGAATTGGTCTGAGGGGTGTTACATACAGCGAGAGGTAAATTATTGTAGAGGCTAAAAACAGGGTTTCTATGGCTGGGCAAGCCAATAGGACTCCTCCCATACTTCTACAATAATCATACCGCAAGCTGTACATGCAGAGTATGTAGTCTAAATGCTTATCTGAGTGCACTAGTACGGCTAATTCTACGGTCAGTGCCAGGTACAGTGATTTGAGCCTCACTAGTCATCTCATTTGAGATGATGTATGGTTCCCCCAGTCTTAAAGGTAACATGAGAAAAACGCCAAGTCTCGAATAACTTTTCAACTACGATTGATATTAAAAATATGGAAAGACAAACTCTTCTTCATCATGGTATCCAGCTTTTCTCTTTCCATATTTTTAATATCAATCGTGGTTGAAAAGTTATTCGAGACTTGGCGTTTTTCTCGTGTTACCTTTAAGACTGGGGGCACCATAATCCGTAAGCCGTGATTCGCTTCGCGTCCCTTGAGTTATTGGTCACTCATTTCGTAAACCCAATTATTAACCTCTATGACACTATACAGATTTATAGAAATTATAACCTTGACACTAATTGGACCTCAAGGTACGCTGAACATAGAGTATATCTTACGCTTGAGGACCCAGGGGAATATGTTCCAGGTCTTCGGGACTCGAGGCGTTTTAAGGCCTCGGCAAGTACACCAGTACTAGTATTGCTTAAATGGAGATCACCATTACAGGCTGAGTAAGGTAATATATGATCACCGTTAGGCACCTTTGGGCGCTATAGTAATTGTTTTCAAATTGAAGCTGATACTAGTAGATATCTTTCCAGAAACTCTTTTTTCTAGAAACAAGCTTTACAGATGCGCCTGTAGAGTGCTCGAGCGCGATGCATGACTATGACCCTGCTCTGCTGAAAGAAATGCATTTAATTATTAAGCCAATACATATAATTAATTGCCGGGCACGCTAGACGGTCCGATGCACGTCGTGTAGCCGTTCATCATGATTGATTCTAAGCTCCAAACAAAATGTACGTATTCATCGTTTGAAAATAGCTTTATGATTTACCCAGCGCAATTGCTTATATATATCTTCATCGTCATTAATGACTAGCTAGACGCATACGTACTATAAAGGGGAAGTGACTCCCACCATCAGCACCGGTTCCTCTGACCAAAGTGCTTGAGTGCTGTGAATGGATCTGGATGCTGGAGGATGACAATTTGACATTTGAAAATCTTTACAATATACGTATAGATGTGCCAGGATAGATATCAGATAAGCTTATATCATCAAGGATGTATAGGAGGCTCATATCAAAGCCTATGAGTCAAAAATAACCTGTAGCTACCTAACTGCAACTTATACCGAGACGCTGTCATAACCAAGAGGTTCAAATTCTGTTAGCTTTTATCAACATTCCGATAGCACATTTCCCCTACTCGGGGCAGGCAATAAGAACCTTAAAATGCAAGCTGCAAGCAGGGGCTCAATTTGGTGTAGCTTTTCGCCAGCCGCGAATCAGAGGTCGTTACCATAAAAAGTCATTTTCAGGTTCTTCTTGCCTGCCCCCGAGTAGAATGCTATGCGCCCGAGATCATGCAATGTGCAAAGTTATATAGCGCTAGTCAGATGAGGTTTCAACTTTCAAGCACATAACACAAGGCTGAAAAAGGCTGCAATTTCGCACATGTACAGAATTCGATCTCTGATAATGAATATTTTGATATACAATCCATAGCACAAGACATAATCACATGAGTACTTCTCAGAAGGACTAGATGTATCTTGTGATCATGTCTAGATAAAATTGTACATAGATACCGAAATCTAGTAGTTATTTGAGTTTTGGAATCGTAAACCCTAAAGTAGAGAATAATTGAATAAATTACAGTACTCCTGGTATATATGTGTTGAAATCGAAGAAATATATGTATCGCTTGTGCGAAATGTCATTGACCGAGTTCTCAAAGTCTCGACACTAGTGCGGTCACTTCTCTCCATTCATGCACCTAGGCACCCGGCGCCTTATGAAGGTTAGCCTTGTTGTGATCAAGGCGCGGCACTATGTAAAAGCTGAAAAAGCGCTAGTGTGTGACCCGTGACATGACCGGGTCCGGATCCAGAAATCCTGTTACACATGTTATGAACCCCACCACAATTGTATTCCAGTGGATGAGCCACTTATATAAAGCTGCCGTACTCCCTTCAATGCCTCCAAATCCAGCATCTTCACCACATCATAATAACTCCACGCCATTCCTTACTCCGACAGCAGGATCGAAAAACCTGGAAACTCTCGCTCGTATTCTATATACTGTTAACGTTATACACGTTTCAACCTTCAACCATATATATATATATATATTTCCTTATAAATTTCGAATTCGACCCTATTTATATCACCTATATACAATCGACCAAGCTGAACAACACTAACGCGCAGTTCCTCCTCTGCGTCCAGTTCAAGCTCGTCAGTATTACGAAAGTGCCCTATAACGTTATTGCACCGACACGCGCTACATTTTCTACCATTAAATTTCCACTTACGGGTATGAAAGGACACGATAACGGTGCAGTCTTTGTCACCAGGCCCAAGAGGACACACGTAGGCGCGAGGGTTCAGAAACTCAGAAGATCCAAGCGCAATCCTAGAATCAAGCAAGAGAATCCCTCAAGCCAGGAACCAACGATTCAAGAGCCTACTCCACCTTGCACGCCACGTGTACGACGTACCTATTCGTATCGTCCAGCAGCCGCGCTGAATAAAAATATCACTACGGCGATTAACCAGAGATCTGATAAACTTGAATCAAAGTATACGGGTTCAGTTCCCTGTCAAAGTCAAGGCCCTGAAACCTCCAATCAATGTCAGGAGCCGGGAGAAAGGGGGGGCCCATCTGCCGAGATAGAGTTTCAAATACAGCAACCAACAGTCAATTGGGATTGCGTCTCTTATGTAGTTTCAGACCAAAAGGTGCAGACCTCCTACGAAAAGCCCGAGATGACCCCTTCAGAAGTGGACTCGGACGGGAACACGATTCCCGGCAACAGGGTGCAAGCATATGGCAAAATGGTAACAAAGACTGTAACTATGACTGTAACCACAACCATTGCAACGACCGAAATCTTGCGCCCAGGCGAAGAGGGTTACGAAGAGAGCCTCGAGCGTCAAAAAAGACAGAGAGAGCAGGGACCAGAGGAAAAGCAGAAACAGGAGAGGCAATATCACGAGAGCAGGAAATGGGCAAACGGGGACAGGACAATGCACGAGAATTTCCATTTCTCACACCACAGGGCTGCGCAGCCAGCCCCGTCCACTGCAATGTAGCAGTACTAATTTTTAATCACCCTTCGATGTTCATTGGTTTTCTGGTTTCTAGGAGAGAAATATGCATGTATGAGGCCAAACCGCGGGACGGAACCGGATCAAAGCTTTTGGACTCCTATATGTACCCATTGATCTATATACAGAGGATGAACGCCGGTCATGGATCTCTCAAGGTTTTGCGAACATGTTCCAGGGATGGACCAAATTGCTATGGACTTAGTGTGGATTTACCCCATATCTTCTTGGCTCTCTGCCCTTCAGTGTGCTTTGAGCCGCCTCTTGTTCTTAAGGGAATTCTTTCTTTTTTTAACACAGTCTTCCGGAAAAATCCAAAAAACAACACAGACAGTTCAGGCGTGACATAGGGCTTTTGGTTATATTTATGTTATTTGGGAGAGACGTGGGCGGAGGGGAGGGGGGCGAGGAGGGCATGAGTTCTGTGGTTCTAGGGTCTAGCTGGAATATTGTTTTCATTTACGCTCGTTAAAATATATTTTATTTTGTCTTATAATAAACACGTAATGAATGTATGTGCGCGTGTGAATTCAATATCAATATAACACCTCGATAAGTATTTCTAAATATTCTCCGTTGATAATCCAAGGCTGACATGCTGGAGAGCGCTTCCGTAATTCGGCTGACTACTTTGTGGGGAGCCGGAGTGGAGGTTCCCCACAATTTGTGTGACCGTGCGCGCCCTATATATATGGATCAAAATTAGACATATTCAATATGTTCCACTCGAAGTCTAGGCGATCAATAGGTAGGCATCCTACCTGCAAACCCGGTACGTACGATCGGAGTAAACTAGTCCACAACGTCAGCGTCTCCTATGCTACCCGGCAGCTAGCGTGCCATCTGCATAGTGAGGCGAACCGATCAACTGAGCTGGCATCAGAGAGATTCGAGGCCCATTACGGTGCCAAGTTTCCATGCAGACAGGACATACATCGTGGCAGGTTTGGGGGAACTGCAGTTGCTGCACTGTACAAGGTTCGCCATCCATGGCCCCGGGACATCCTGATCTCGCTAATCTTTCTGGGGGAGATACCTATAAGCAAGCAGCTATATGTATCTGTCTGTGTCCGAGTACGATACGAGTACGTCTATTGGAGTTCACAAGTGGCCCTGCTTACTCTAGTTTCCTCGTGGTATGTATATCGGAGTTCTTTAATGCAGTGGCACGTGATCTGTAGTACCTATGTGCCAGTAGTACATACATGCTGAGTATTACAAGACGGGACTCGAATTCCTCCGGTCAATATTCTAAGGGGGGCAGTGCAGCATTTGTCGTACGTAGTATACACGCGTTAATTGAAATCCACAAGCGTGGTAGGTTTCAGTGGCAAGACGGAGACTCGTCGAGAAAATTCCGGCCATGGCAAAGCAGGATATTGGGGATGTAGATGTAATAGATTTCAAGGGGCTTGTGAAATCCAAGTGTTGAGTTCCAGGTGTGTAGAATAAATCACCTAGATATCCATGGACAGCTGGATGCTGGAACACCATGTTCCGACACGTACGTTTACCCAATTAGGACAGGCTTGGCACTTCCCATACGCCACTGGGAGGTAGAGTACAGGGGTGGTGCAACATAGCCTCTAAACCTAACCCACCGCCCGGGTACGCCCTAATCTAACTGACAAGCAAACAGGTGCTGAAAGAATATATACATATGCTCACCTCGTAAACATGATTCGTAGAGGCATACGTACATGTAAGTAAATAGGTGGTTGTGCGCAAGTGCGGGCTCGGATTTCCGAATATATGAAATTATCGATCATTGACCATACCCCTGACGCCACATATTGTTTATAGACAAGTTTTAACTCCGGCTCCATAGGCCAAAGTATAAGCAATAAGACGTTTCGTATCGAGATATCAACACACACTGCTTGGCTTACCCAGGTCCATTTCGTCTGATTTTCGGAACAAGGCAGACAGACCATCGAGTCCGCTGCGCTGCCATTCATTCGTCAAAGCGCCCATCGCGATCATCCCGAACAGACGTACGCACTAGGCTAAGATTATTCCTCAACTACATGTAGTAGTACCTATGAGATCTACCTGCAGGCCTGGCCCTGTTAACGGCGGACGTGGGACTCATCTTGGGTCAACTGTGTAACGTTTGCGGGGTGGCACCCAAGTACGCCACTGTGCGACTTGGATTGGCCGGTGACACGACGCTCATATCTCGAGAGTCAAGACCTCGTTTTTATTGTTAAATAATTAAGTGGCGATCGATAGTTCTTGCTTAGGATTTAAAGTTTGTTTTAGGCATGCCTAACCCCATAAGAGATTTATGCCCTAGAATGAAAATGAGCCACAAGTCGCGATCGGACAAAGCTGGAGTGGACTACAAAGATTAAAGTGACTCAAATAGGAAGTCTTGCGAGATATAGAGGTGCCAGTCAGGTGTTTATAACACCATGTGAAATCTCGTGCACTGGCGTAATATATATGTTAAATTTCCTGTTCGAGAGAGTGGGAGGTGCCTTATATTACCGAGTAGACGCCACTTCAGCAAGTCCTTTCATTAGCCCTACAATAGGTCCGACCTTCTATGAGGAGCAAACATTGCCGAAGAGCCTCACCTTTCATTGGAACTACGACCGCCAGACATAAGCCAATAAAGACTTCTCCATGATCATGTTTACAAGGTTTATAGTCGCCGTCTATTCCCCTGAACTATAGAAACAAATAGTAATGTCTTTTCATATGGCGCAATATTTGTGTAAGAGCCCAGAGGGGACGAGGGTAATGTGCCAGAACCGATGTCATAGAAATACTCTGTTAGCCTTGGTTCTAACAGCGCTTAGAGGTGTAGTAGATCTTCAGTTTTCCAAAATGATTGGTTGATCCTTGAAAACCAAAACTTATAAGCCTACCTTCGATACCATAGCTTCTCTATAGACATCATCTTCACAAGGATAGCTAGCTAAGAACAGAAATGCAATACTTTAATAGGCCACTGTAAGTTTACAAGAAATGTTTCTCGGCAATTCTAGACCAACCGTTCTTCTTTTGAGCAAGGCAGCCATGAAAGGCATCTTGTTTCATATTCTCACTACAAGTAGTGCCCGATACTCCCCGCCTTCTATAGATGAGATGACAGGTATTGACAGGATCACCTTGTTTGTGAAGGTGCATCTAGCCAGGATCATGAAGTCCCAGGTCATGTACCACGCAATCACTATGAACACAGGTATGAACACAACTATAAAGGCACAATTCCACTTAAAGATCAAGAATACGATTGAGAAAGAGGCAATACCAGGCCGATAACAAGCTATCATAGATGTTGCTAAATTACCGATCATGAGCTAGCTATTTTGGCTGGGAACTAGGGTGGTTGGGCTCAATAATGAGTGGAGATTAGCCTCGCATAATTGAGCACAGGCCTCAAGATAGCAGGCAGACAGACATGACATCAAGTCACAGAGAAAGCTGTGTAAGGTCTTTAGAAGTTGTAGTACACACTTGTGAATAGCTGACCCGTCCCGAAAAATTACATAAACCGAATCACTAGGTCACAGTTTATTCAGCTTAGCCATGGATATAAAGATTGGCAAGAGACGAGTGATTCAAATACTGATCATGAGTGAGTCTCACGACTATCTATGATCAGGATACTATATCGATTAGGTGTAATTATGAGATCTCGAGGGTTCGGGTGGATGAAGATTAACAACACGTGGTCGATATAAAGAAAATCAAAACATGGGTTGTACGAAGCGATGAATTGTGAGTTTAGAGATTATGTACATGTAGTTATATATATATGAAACCAGTGTTCCGGGCCTGGAGAACGAGTACTAAAGCCACATGAAATCTGTAGAGATTAGTGCTTCTGAGCTGATATTCCCACTGATCACGCGGGTGATGTGCACGTGTGCCGTGCATACCTGCGCAAGAAACTTCACTGTCTCCGACTTCCTGGTCCTTCTATGAGAGAACGACTACTTGTTTCGATACGATTGAACCGTGCACTGCATTTCTAGTACGCCGTAATACAACTTCGCACCTTGTACAATTGAAGACCAACCTGTAATCAATATCAAACTTCGGGAGTGATATATTGATATGTAAAGATTGACGCAATTCGTATCACAGGTAGACCATATCAAGTTCTCTCAACCCTAAATCACGCACCCCGTATGTGATTGGGATATTAGATACCAGGAGTCATAATCAACGTCACACTAGCACTGATCACATTAAGTAGGCGACTGCTCGTACCTCCCAACTATTGGATACCCTTGAGTGACCTGCAGCTATACACATATCTCGATAGCTACGGTACGTTGCTGATCGCCAAGTGTTCAGCCTAGGGGTTTGGTTTCAATATTGGCCTTTATTTAACTTTAATTCTCACTAGCACGACCCTTAGCTGTGAACCTCTTGAATTAGTGAACCCCCACATAAATGTTTTGAAAGCTGAACATGTACAACTGACCAACTTAAATTATAATCTTATCAGATCAAAAACCCTTTCCGGAATTTTCAGCTGTACGCTCAATACTTCACCCCGGACCTTCCGCAAAGCCTTGATCGTGACATTGAGTTGGATTCCGCGTTGGGGATTTTACGGCAGAACGAAGGGTGAGGCTGACCCGTGCCGCTTAGAACTAACTGATATGGTAGCCTATAATAGGCTGGTATTGTTAAAGTCGCTAGATTTATTCACAAAGAGCTGGACTTATACAGGAAGGGCATAGATAGCGCATATCTACAATCGTCCTACATGTACATGTATCTTACAGCTGTACAGGGACATTCTACACCTACATAGAGATTGAAGTGTACATACTCCCGGGCAATTGATTACCAGACATTCCTTACTAAGGAATATGCACGTGCGGCTTTAGCCCTGCAGGTAGATATTGATTCATTTATAATAGTCATAGAGGGAGTATGATGTCAGCTTGATAATCCTCGGGGCATACGCTTTGTCTGCCTACTCCTCCTGAATCTTAGAACGTTCGTAGATTTCTTTTATGGTTTTAATTTTGCTGACGGTGAAACAATAAACTTTTTTTTCTTTTTTTCTTCGCCTTTTTCGCCATATTGATGACCGCAGACATAGAGCTGGAGTAGACTTGGAAAGGGAAACGCGATTTTTAACAGAAGATAACTTTCTTGATATATTAAATACCAAATGAAAGAAATATTTATATAGATTAGCTCTAGGAGGTATGGAAATGCATCTGGAAATGCATCTAATTTTGTATAAGTAAAGTCATTACTAATATTATTGGGAAATGGAGATCGATTTACAGCTAGACAAAGTACAGCCACCCTGCAAAGGTGTTCGTGATTCACTTGTTGAAGTGAGACATGGTTGATGTCTCAGTTGACTGATCACCGCGCCCCATTAAGAACCTCACTTCTGTAGAGTAAAAGTAGTTGTAAGAAACGAGTCGGCAATCATGTTAAGGCATCAACGCAGCCGTAGTAATCCCGATGCCGATAAAGCTCTTGAAATACAGCTCCTATAAACGAATCTAGCGTATTTGTAGCTCGCCCGGGAAAGGACACCTAAAGCAAATGCCTCAAGAAGGCAGATATCAGCTGCGGAAAAGGGAACGACCATTCAGATTTTCTTCTGATTTCGATGCATACATACGGTCTCAATGTTAAATGGAAGATTCGATTACCATTTGATTGGTATATTTTCTACATGACTGACTGTACTTTCCAACTTGAGTAGGCGATGGTCTACAATTAAAAGCTTTATCGATCGTATTGTACAGCGGTAGGTAATAAGTGATGGAACGTGCGCGCACACGAGCTGAGCCATGGATGTCTCAGTTGAGGACTTCAAAAAGGTACGTTGAGAATCACAAGTAGGTTGGTTTGAGGATCTCGGGTGTATTGGTTTGTATGTTGGTTTGCAGATTCGGTAGTAGGTTGGTTTGCGCAATTGCAGATTCGTTTTTAGGTTGGTTTTAGGATATTATCTCGAGTTGAGGAGGTTTTCTCAGGTTCAGGATCTCGGATTGGCGATCTCGAGGAGGTGGTATTAATACTGAATGTGCGTCGTACTCTATGCTATTCAGATAATCAATCAATCATAATTGTGCCAATACCTCCTCCAGATGCCAGTAAACCACGCCGTATTGAAACAACAGATGCCCAGCGGTCCAAAGTCATCAAGCTGTTTGAGTTAGGGTTTACCTATGCTGAGATAGTTGCAAGAACAGGAGTTAAGAAAACCACCTGCTGGCATATTGTTCAGAGAGATAAGGAAAGATGGAAACCTGGATCTCTTATTCCTTATACAGCTTCGGCACCTCATAGCGGTAGGCTAAAGAAGTTCAGCAAAAGGCAGAAGAGATACCTTATTTCCTTGGCGAAGCGATACTGGCAGATGCATCTGGGTATTCTTACTAAACATCTCATCACCAAAGTGAGCATGAAAACAGCACGCAAATATCTCAAGCAATCTAGTCTAAATAAATATTGAGCAAAGTGAAAACTCTTCCTATCTAAGCTATACAAATTGAAACGAATGTTGTGGTATATAGAGAGGAGACATTGACAATGGAGGAGTGTGGTAAAGTTATTTGCATGAACGAATCACAGTTTGAGGTTGGTTATCATGGGGGCGCCTGTTGAGTATATCGAATGGTCCGAAAAGAATACAAACTTGAATGGCTACTGCCGATATTTAACAGTGGGAGAACATCGGTCATGATATAAAGTTCGATCCAATTATGTCATAAGAGTCCAATAGATATTCTACCTACTGGAGTACTCAAAGGTAAGGACTATGTTGATTTGATAATGGAACCAGTCCTTCACCTATTTTATAAAAAGAGATATAGAGCAATACCTGAGACTATTGTGATGGAAGATAATGACCCCCCACATAGATCTAAAGCTGCTAGCACAGCTAGAAATCGGCTAAAAATATAAAAGATGGAGTTGCCTATACAATCACCTGACCTAAACCCTAATGAAAATCTGTGGAGAATCATGAAGGCTAAAATTAGTAAATGAAATATTACTAGAGATTTGGATTTAAGAAAGGCATTGCAGGAAGAATGAGACTTCTTTACACCAGGAGATTTTTGGAAACTGTCATAGAATATTCTCAAAAGAGTAAAGGAGTGTTTGAGGAACCAGAGCGGAGCAACACACTATTAAAAGCAAATATTAGTTGGTAGTTCTAATCTATAATATTCATTATTATTCTCGTTCATCGTTATGAGCTCCCTCATCATTGAGCGGGCTCTATCGATTTTGACCGTGCTCCCCTCATCATTGGTCACCTCCCTCGATGTTGACCACTCTCAATCGTCATTGACTGCACTCCCTAATCGTTGACTGCACTTTCTCCATCGAGAGATCAATGATATCAGTTCTGGTAACTGACATATGTCTCGGGTCAGGCATACATGTGTATTCCATCAATTCTTACTTACCGTTGTACTTCAAAATAGAAATCAAGACAGTTTTCCATTTTCAGGCCAATCCCCTTCTTAGTTCAAACAGCCAATATGGGTACTGAATAGTTTAATTATCACAAAATTGAGGTGGAATTTTATATCTTCATATACACCAATTCTCAATGTAATTGCGCTTGTGTTGGCCGAACTTAAAAAGAAACTCCCGTAAAGGGATAATAAAATTGCTGACACAGAATGGTTACAACCTGATATTATAAAAAGACTAGTTTTATTTTTCTCATTAGTTTCAGAAGCTCTACCTGAAAGTCTTTGAAAAACTAGCAGGATCAATGAAATGAAGGCTGGAATTCATTATGGAATCAAAATGCTAGTACAGGAAGTATTGACAACCGTAATCAAAAATATTCCACTGAAAGATTTAAGTGCTGATCTCCTGCAAAAGGAAATTTTATTTTATTTTAATTGTATATAATATTGACATCAGATATTAGGAATAGTCATTAAGATCAGACATCAATAGTAAGAATTTTGAACGGGTCTTGAAAAAGGTCAACCAGAACAGGTGTTGAGAAAGATATTAGTGTAAGGACGTATTGGCATTATAGTCGGATATTGTATTGAGGAGTATAGAAGAAGTACTTATTAATGGGTAGGGATTTCTAATATGGGTTTACTTTGGTTTCTATTAGTTTCCATTACACAGAGGAATGAGACATGTTCGGACTGGGATTATCAATCATATAAAGGGGTTCTGTCTTTCACTCTTATTCTGTTTCTCTCCTTCTTCTTTACGCAATATTCTTCATTTTCCCGCTCAGCTCTGGCTCGTGGAGTGGAAATTCTATTTCATCAGTTTGGTGAACTCCCGATTTTTACCGAGTTGAAGCCTTTCATAAGGATGCGTCTTTCTCCTCACCCCCTCCTCAATATTGTCAGCTCCTTGAATATGACCACCCCATTGATGGGGCCTTGAAGGCCATCTCTCTGCACATTGTATCGGCATATTGTCAATAGTCTGTATGTCGGCACAGATCCATTGCCAAAGCCTATAATAGCCTACTCAGTTGACGACCTTAAGTTAATGAAGCTGTTGCTCCAATCCTTATGCGAGGTCCCATTGTTTGGCCTTACCCAATTTCATGGCTCAAGATAGGGAACCCATTTTTAATAGAGTCAACTTTCCTCAAAACCCTCTCTTTACTCAGCTCAGCTATTCTCTAAAGCCACCTATTTGTAAAAATATAGCATTGTGACATCGGCATTGTATGGCAATTACTCATGTATAATGAATGACTCATAGTTGGAACAAGGAGGCTTAGCACTAGAATTATGTAATCAGGGGGTCATATGCTACTAAGAACTATATGTATATAAGGAGCAACAAACTTCCATAGTTGTCACTGGAACTCAGCGGCGTAATAGTATCTAATTTGTACTATAAACATAGCCCTCACAAAGATAACATTTTCAAACCCTCCTCAAGACGTCTATTCTCTCAGACTCCAATTCACACCATTAACCACTGTCGGCATTCTCGACTGCGATCTCTCTTTTTATTATGACTTGTAGTACAGTCTTTAATCGCTACTACCTGGGACCGATAGCTCTACCCTACCATTTCGAAATACCCTTTAGCCAACTCAGCTCATTACCCCGTTGCCTGACGAGCAGATATACAGGGCCCCCATCAACCATCCTCACCCTAAACTTTCACAACAGATACTTCTGCAGTTGGCCTTTCTTGTGCATTCGTTCCTGGCTTTTCCTTGATCCTGTTAAGATGCATCCACAAATACAATTATAGGGACTTCAGTAATCATCTTGGTTAGAGTGAACATGCTTGTTGATTGTGCTGGCTTATATGTTGTTTGACTGAAAAGTATGGGTTTCTTTTACGTTTAGGAAAATTACTTTATCGTCACTTAGTTTTTGTTTACCTATACAATATTCATTAGTTAGTTAGTATTTGATGGTTGTTAGTTAGGTGTGTGATAGGCCTTTGGCTTTCAAGCAATATAAAATCTCATTCATTCTTCATTCTTTCGGTTCTGATTAATTTGCAATACTATTCTCATATTAAGTTACAGAAGTCCAGAGACCTGTATCCCAGTATCTGGGTTAACAACTTGAGTCCACAGTCTATAGTCTATAGTTATCGTCCCCTGATATGCTATATCAAGAGAGTCTATAGTATATCACTTTGTCCACAGTCCAGGTCCACGTCCTCTAACTTGGTTATACTCATTATCAACTACAATTTACGCTTTTACCTACATCTACTGTCCCATTTAACACTAAGGTTTCATCTCCAATGCCAATCAATACAACTTCATCAAGACTATAATACACTATGGACTATGAAACTCTTGACAACGATATACAGAATTTCTTTGAACATTTTCAGTAGGTCGTAGGAACCTCGATGGGTTCGATCGAAGCCTACACTCTATTACAACCAAGTCATACGGCCCTAAAACAATGTATTCAAGACCCGACAGCATTCCAAGATGAAGCCAACTAGGCGAGGGAGGCATTTCAAACCATCATCACTAGACTGCATGGGCAACTAGCGATAGCCTATCAAGAACGCACTCAAGGAGTAGCACCTGCCATTCTCTCAGGAGAAACCGCTGTCCCCGCTGTACCAGTTGCTCTATTTGAACCAATTGCCCCCAAAACCTATCGTTCGGAAAGACGTCCAGACCCGGAAATATTTCATACAGATAGCAATCATTATAGACTCCAACTAGTAAAGCAACAGATGAGGATTAAACTTTTCGGAAATGCTGATTGGTTCTCCACTCTTCAATCCCAACTCTTCTATTCATTCTTCCATCTAGAAAGTGTAGCAGCAAATCAGTTGCATGCACATACCAATGATTAAGGCATTAATTTGCCATCTATGAACCAGTTCTACGAGATTAGTAATACTACTTTTGGAGATCCCGATAGAGTATGTACAGCTAGGAGGGCACTTAGGGAAATCTATCAGAGAAACCATACTTCTGACAACCAATTTACAGAGGTCTAAATGTAACGGCAGCTATGTATTTCGGCTAGTTGATAAACTGGAACGAGGAAAGGAGGTATTGTGCAGTGGAATTAGGATTTGTAATAGGGATTTCTGTTGTGTTCTTTTAGTTTCTGTTACGTGGAGATATTAGTCATCATTGGACTATGGTTGGATATATAAGGGGCCGTTGTCTTGTGCTTTTATCTGTTTATCTTCTCTTCTTCTTTCTTTACGCAACCTCTGAATTCTACTTGCTCGCTAAGGCTCGCAAAGAACTCCTTGACAATTAACCTCGCTTCAAAAACATTTTATTTTATTCCCCTCGGTTTACCCTGGTATACCATACCAGGTTGAGCCATTTCGTCCCCGATCGTCCGGTCGCGTTTGTTGTTCCTAGCGAAAGAAACACCACGAAAACTGGCTTCTAGCGAAGAATTCTCCAGCCTTGACCTCCCAAAGGGAAGGAAAAGAAACCTTTCCGAAACATCACTCTACGCAGCCAGAAGAACTGGACATTCAATCATGTCGCAACAAGCCTCGCTCCAGTCCTTTTTTACCCAGTCTTCCCAGCAAGGGACAGCCCCTCCGCAGAACAGGAATATTCCGGTTCCCGACCCAACCCCATCCGGAGCTCAGGAACAAGAATTCTCCTCGACCTTTGCAACAGAATCCGACTACAATGACCCATACCAACCGAGAATTGACTACCTCTACCCAAGCGTTGTCCCCCAGGAAACTCACACCCAGACGGACCTGAACTACATTACCTGGGCCATTAGACATGCCACCAGCCGAATCTGCCTACCCTCCGACAGGATTGAAATCCTCGAAGAGCAAACGACTACACTCCGGAGAACAGTGGATACACTGAAGCACCAAATCGATCTCAAGGGAGTGAGTAGCGAGTATTCCGCAGGGCACGAAGAGCGTAGCAGGGGACGGTGTGGGAGCTCCACGATATGGGTACTACGGGGCTCTAGCGTCGGTAAGGTTTGAAGGGGATGAGAACAAAGCGAGGCGGTGGTCTTCTTGAGGAAAGAAGAGAACGAGAATATTATATAGCAATAGACAGCGTAGATACAGAAGACGTTGCGTAAAGAAAGAAGTAGAAGAACACAAAATACAAACAAACACCCCCCTTAATATACTCAAGAAAATCCCAGCGATGACAAATCCAACATGACTCATACATCAACGATCAACAGAACCCGGTAGAACCCAATAGAACTTTTCTGACTAATCCGACTCTTCCTAACCCCGTACCTCCACTGGTCGATCCATGAAAGTAGCCCCTCCCTTCAAGCGCGAGCTCCTGCGAGCCTTAACCTTAATCTTTCCTTCCAATGGTCCAGGTTTGTCGGGGTAGCGTACATGGAAGATATCAACGGCGGCGGTATTATCGTGGTATGCGGCGGGTTCCCAGGTAGGGTCGGTATAGCCCGTCCACTTAACAAAGTATTGTAGGCCAGTGTTTCGTAATTCTCGCGAGTCCAAGATTTCCTCAACTGCATACTCCTCCTCTTGTTCGACGATAATGGGTGGGGGTGGTGGTTGAATTTGCCCTGGGACAGGATCATTCGCAGCGGGGTCCAGCAATGACACATGGAAGACGGGGTGCATCTTCATACTCCTAGGCAGGTCGACTCGATACGCATATGGCGATATAATTTCCTTAACGGGGAACGGTCCCAGTTTCTTCCAGTCCAGTTTCCGGGAGTTACGCGTGGTTCGGATGTTTTTTGCTGAAACAAACACCATATCACCGACATCGTACTGTGGGGCCGGCGTTCGTTTAGTATTGACGGCCTGCTCTTGTTGATCCTGCGCTGTACGGATATTGGAACGTAGGTGCTCGTGGAGTTCTTTCATCTTCGAGGCGAAGTCCTTAGCGTTAAGACTCGGTGGGGTCTTGTCCAACGATTTGATCGTCACTGTAAACCGGGGGTGGAACCCATAGTTCGCGAAGAATGGTGTAGCTTTGGTGGATGCGGAGACCTGATTGTTGGCGGAGAATTCTGCCATAGGAAGCCATTTTACCCAATCGTCCTGTTGATAAGAGACATACCCACGTAGATATTGCTCCATTACAGCATTCAGCCTTTCGGTTTGGCCGTCGGTCTCTGGGTGGAAGGCGGTGGACATCCTTGCTTCGATGTTGAGGTGTTTACAAAGAGCCTTCCAAAACTTAGCTGTAAATTGCGTACCGCGGTCGGAGGTGACGTGTGTGGGTAGCCCGTGGAGCTTCCATATATTTCGCAGGTATAGTCGGGCGACGTCTTCGGAGTTGACAGTAGTATTGCAGGGCAGGAGATGTCGCATCTTTGTTAGCCGGTCAACCACTACCATAATTGCATCGTACCCTTCACTTTCCGGTAGGCCCGTAACGAAGTCCATCGATACCTCCCGCCATGGTTGTTCGGGAATCGGTAAAGGTCGAAGTACGCCGAGTTTTCCATGGGTGTTGGGTTTACTTCGTTGACAGGTGTGACAGTTCCGAACGTAGCGGGCAATGTAATTTCGCATGAGGGGCCAGTAGTAGTCCCGACTGACGAGTTCGAATGTTTTTTCACGTCCCGAGTATCCAGCAGAGGCAGCGTCATGGTAAAGTTGGAGGATTCGAAGCTTAAGGGGGTCGTAATCAGGGACATATATGCTGCCTCGGTAAAGCAATCGGCCTTCAACCTCGGTGCATTCGGCGAGTGATATGTCTTTTGATTGTCGATCGCCTTTATTCCGCATATCCAGTATTTTTTGGGGAAACGGGTCAGCGCTATATCCTTCATCAAATAATTCCTGCAGTGAGGCGTTCTTGTAATGGCAGCTATGTATTTCGGCTAGGTGATGAACTGGGATGAGGGAAGGAGGTATCGTGCAGTGGAATTAGGATTTGTAATGGGGATTTCTGTTATGTTCTTTGGGTTTCTGTTACGCGAAAGTATTAGTCATCGTTGGATTATGGATGGATATATAAGGGGGCGTTGTCTCGTGCTTTTGTCTGTTTTCCTTCTTCTCTTTCTTCCTTACGCAACCTCTGTATTTTATTCTACGAATACTATTCTTTGTTCGCACTACGTCATAGGGCTCCAACCGGTTTATCATACCAGGTAGAGCCACCCATAGTCCATAGTCAAAGTATACCTTTACGTCTACGTCCACGTCTACGTCACTACCTAGGTTGTATTCCTTGGCACCACAGTCTATCGCCTATAGTCTCCGTGATACGTAGGTTGCGTCCTCTATCGCCAACCAATACAACACCATAGCCTACAATGTCGGAACATGTCCATGTCGATTATCAACAACTCAACGATAACCTCCAAAGATTTTTTGAAGCGCATCCACAGGTCGATCATGTTGTCGGAGCTGAAGCTTATGCGCTTCTTCAACAGTGTCAAAATGGTCTTATTCAATATGCAACGGATTTACAGGAGATAGAAGCGGAGGCTGAGAGGGCAAGAAGGATATTTGAACGAGATCTTACTGCTGCCCGAGCTCAACGAACTGCTGTTGAGGTTGTGGCCCCTGACGAAGAACCTATTGGAAACAATGCTCCACCTATACCTCCAGCGCCACCAGTTACAGGTACCACCTATCGGTCGGAGAAACTCCCAGACCCCGATGTGTTTAGGGGGGATCGTGATCGAGAAAGACTACACTTATTCAAGCAACAAATGAAAATCAAGTTACTGGGAAATATCGATCGCTATCCTACACTACAGTCTAAGTTATCGTATGCGTTCAGCAGATTGGAAGGTGCTGCTGCCAATCAGTTTTTACAGTACATGGGAGAAGAAGGTATTGCCTTACCTTCTATGACACGGTTTTATGAGATTCTGGATACAGCTTTTGGAGACCCCGATCGAATGCGTACAGCTAGAAGAAATCTTCGGAACATCAGACAACGCACTCGAACCTTTGCCGATTATTTTGCTGAGTTTCAACGGTATGCTGCTGAGTCGGGTATGGATGAAGTCTCTCGGATTGAGGCTTTGATGGAAGGAATTAATGGGGAACTGGACGAATCGATGATACACCATGAGACTCCTGCAACGGTAGATGGTTGTGCAACACTCTTGCAACGGTTGGATAACCGACGACGGGCGGCGGAAGCTAAGCGAGGTAGTAAAAAACCTTGGACTACTACTGCGACCCCGGCTCCGCGTCCTCCACCAACAAATCCTGTTCCTGCTCCCCGTCCTGCTGCCCCTGCTGCCAACCCACCTACCACTGAGAATCACCCCTCGTTCCGTCCTGGAGGTGATGTACCCATGGACCTGTCTGGAGGACGTCGTCGCCCTACCCCTGCCGAAAGAAACGCCCGATTAGCTGAGGGCCGATGTTTCTATTGCGGAGGTGTCGGGCATATGGTTAGAAATTGCCCCCAAGCGAGGGCAACTGGAAATCAACTAAGGAGGCCTGTGATGAGAGGAGCGGCGTTGACAGTGGAAGAAAATGATGGAAGCGATAATGAGTCGGCAAAAGATTTGTCCCTGCACTAAGTGGCTTAGCCCAGGGACCGTTTAAGGATTTTTCTAGGATGTGTATTTCTGGTTTTTCGGTATCAGAGGAGGAAATGGATGGAAATCAACTTGTAGTAACTTGTTCGATTTCACAAGATAAAAATTCGTTTATACCTACCTACGCCCTTATTGATACCGGAGCATCAGGATATGCTTTCATTGATGAATCCTTTGTACGCCACAACAATCTTATAATGACCCCCCTTAAAATGCCTCGCCATATAGATGTTATAGACGGAAGACCTATTAAGTCAGGAAAAATTACCCATATTGTCGATGTCTCGCTAGACATTCATGGTCATCGGGAGACGGCGCCATGTTTTGTAACGAAGTTAGGACACTATCCGATTGTGATGGGGATACCTTGGATGCGACGACATGATGTTACGATTCGACCAAAAGAAAATCTACTTGTTTTTGACTCTCAAAGCTGTTGTCAACACTGTTCACTCAGTGGAACTGCAGTTATTGTTCATGGTATCTCGATCCCCTTACCGGAACACCATACAGTCATCGTTTCAGCAATCGAGAAATCCACTATCGATATCGAACAATTAGTACCAAAAGAATTTCACCATCGTCTTCATATGTTCAAAGAATATGATGCTTCGATTCTCCCACCACATCGATCATCCCATGACATCGAGATAGTATTAGAGGAAGGCAAACGACCACCATATGGACCTATATATGGATTATCTCAAATTGAGTTAAAAGCACTACGAGAATATCTTGATGAAAATTTACCCAAAGGATTTATTCGAGCCAGTGAATCACCAGCGGGAGCACCCATACTGTTTGTGAAGAAAAGCGATGGAACCCTTCGACTTTGTGTTGACTATCGAGGCCTAAATGCGATTACAATCAAAAATCGATATCCATTACCATTGTTGAAAGAAACTCTGGCTAAGTTGTCAAGAGCACAATACTATACTAAGTTGGATTTACGATGGGGATATAATCAAATCAGGATAGCGGAGGGAGATGAATGGAAAACAGCATTCCGAACTCGATATGGACATTTCGAATATACAGTAATGCCGTTTGGATTAGCTAATGCCCCTGCCATATTTCAGCATTGGATTAATGATATTTTACGTCCCTACCTCGATCAATTCGTAACAGCATACTTGGACGATATCCTTATCTATTCCGAGACCCTATCAGAGCATAAAGAACATATTCAGAAGGTTCTAAAGGTACTTGATGAAAATCATGTTCACCTTAAACCTGAAAAATGTGAATTTATGGTTCAGGAAACAAAATATCTTGGTTTAATCCTTACTCCGAATGGGAATAGAATGGATCCAGAGAAAGTTATCGATGTTTTGGAATGGACTACACCGACAAACCTTCGTGATGTTCAAGTATTCCTAGGATTTGCAAATTTCTACCGACGGTTTATTTTGGGATATTCGAAAATTGTTGCCCCGCTTACAGCCTTGACAAAGAAAAACGTTAAATTTGAATGGACGGATGAAAGGGAGGAAGCATTTCAGACTTTGAAAAAGATGTTTACAACGGCACCGATACTAGCTCATTTTAATCCAGATCGAAAAATTGTGATAGAAACTGATGCATCCGACTATGTTTCAGCAGGAATCCTATCTCAACGTGACAACGAAGGAATCCTACATCCAGTTGCTTTCTTTTCCAAGAAACACTCTCCCGCAGAATGCAACTATGAAATCTATGACAAAGAACTTTTAGCAATTATACGATGTTTTGAAGAATGGCGACATCATCTGGAGGGAGCTCAATTTCCAATTGAAGTTCTTAGCGACCATCGGAATCTTGAGTATTTTATGACAACAAAATTGTTAAATCGTCGACAAGCCCGTTGGTCCGAATTTCTTTCACGCTTCGATTTCGTTATACAATTTCGGCCAGGAAAACAAGGAACAAAACCAGATGCATTGACTAGGAGGTCAGGTGACCTACCTAAAGAGGGGGATGAACGGTTAACGCATCAGAGTCAAGTGATTCTGAAGCGAAAAAATTTGGATACCAAGCTAAGTTTGTTCGCGGGTTCTTTGTCAAATGAATCCGCTGAAGGAGCGTCCACTGTAGAGGAGTTATTTTCAAAAGCTTACCAAGTGGATAGTTTCCCAAACAAGGTCCTCAATATGCTTCGGAATGGCATACGCCACTCAAACAAAATCTCACTTGCCGAATGTATGAAAGATAACAACGGTCGGCTGCTTTATCGAGGCATGCTATATGTACCAGACGACGATGACCTTCGACTAAGGCTTTTAAAAGAATATCATGACAAACCATCTGCAGGACATCCGGGTAGAGCGAAGACTCTGGAGCTCCTAAGTCGAGAATATTACTGGCCACAGATGCGGAAGTTTGTCGATCAGTATATTAGGAATTGCAATGTGTGTACCCGTAGCAAGGCATCACACAATGCACCTTATGGAATACTTCGCCCCATGCCAATTCCCGATGGACCCTGGACAGATGTCTCGATGGACTTTGTGACTGATCTTCCTGAGAGTGATGGGTATAATGCGATTTTGGTCGTGGTGGATAGACTAACCAAAATGCGGCATCTGATACCAACAATAAAGGAGGCGGACTCACAGGAAGTAGCAAGGCTATATATTGATAACGTCTGGAAGCTACATGGATTACCCGACACTATGGTATCCGATCGAGGAACACAGTTCGTCGCGGAATTCTGGAGGTCCCTTTGTGATCGATTGGAAATCTCGCCAAAGTTCTCTACTGCATTCCACCCCCAAACAGATGGACAGACAGAAAGAATTAATGCCATAATGGAACAATACCTCCGAAGCTATGTTTCCTATCAACAAGATGACTGGGTCCGATGGCTACCGATGGCTGAATTTGCAACCAACAACCACGTTTCCGAAACAACAAAAGTTTCCCCCTTTTATGCTAATTCGGGAAGGAATCCTAGGATAACATTTGGGCCTTTGGAACATGGTCGGACGACGGCGGAGGATCAAGCGAACCGTATTGCAAGGGAAATGAAGGATGTGGTGGACTTCCTAAGAGAAGAAATGTTCCGGGCGCAAAGGATACAAGAAGAATCAGCCAATAGGAATCGAACTCCAGCTCCTCGATATTATTTAGGAGATAAGGTTTTTCTATCGACCCGTCATATTCTAACAAAGCGACCCTCTAAGAAATTCGACTGGAAACGTATTGGACCTTATAGCGTTAAACGAATTGTTAATCCCTATGCTT